AGAATACAAGGGTTTAGGATATTACGCACATGTTGAATATGAATATGATCTTTCTTGGTACTTGGAGAAAATCAATAGATGAAAACATGGATGATGCTCTAGCTAATATTGGAGTGTCATTTTGCTGACTGGAGTAGAGTTCATTAATTAAAGCAAACCCATCCTTACTGCACATGGTAGCAGGATTTGCATTGTGGAATTTTGTAATTAATCCTACTTTATTAGTTTCTACAGGCCTGTTTCAGAACAGAGTAGGTAGAGATGACATAATCATACCTACACACTACCCTACCTCGATAGCGCATGCGCGAATTTTTTGGCTTTCAATCAGGTCGCTTTTGAGTATATCGACTGCTTAGTCAAAAGGTTAATACGTTTGGTGCTCGGAGTGAGTCAATATTGCTATTCGCTGAACTTCAGTGGTGCAATAGTGAAGTCCATGTTCCAAGTTATATGATAGTTGAAGAAAGAATGTAAATAATATCGTTTTAAATTTTAAAATATTTGATATGTCATAGTACACGGTACACAGCTGCAAAAATTGATCAATACAGGGTACAAGGAATGTAAATTGTTCAATAGTACAGGGAGCGAGAAAGTAAGCTGATTATACAGACATACTATGTCCCGATCTCATGTATATTTACGTTGCAAACAGTGAAAATAATGCTTAAAAGGCCGCCTGTTGATGCTTTGAGGTGTCATCAATTGTTATATAATCCAAATAAAGTAAACATTATGTAGTAGATTTAGACACAGGCTTTCAGGTCGTATATGCATTTTATTCATTAAATTAACAAGAACGCTAGATTATACGTGTTACTAGGGTATCAAATTGAAATAAAATAACGAAATAAAATATGAACACGTAAGTGATAAATGACTATCGGCTATCAGGATTAATGACTATCCGCTATTCAGAATAATTAAAATTGCGTCAACTACATGTAAAGAATCTTTCTATATAACCCCTTAGATGGTCTAATTCACTACCGTCCTCAAAAACCGATCATTTAAAATAGTTTGTTCAAAATACCATCATGCCACGACATTTTGTTCTTCACGATTTGCTGTTGAGGTGATATGACGTCGTATTTCTCTATTATTGTAAAAAACTAATACCAGATCGATGTAGTCTTATATATGACGTGTTGAATGTCAGATGTTTTTGGATGGTATCTGCTCCAGTGATTTTGCATTTAATCATAAAACGCTCATCACAAGACACCTCGAAACAAACATTATCCTCCTTGTGACAAGAGGAAAAATGTTTCACAATATGTAATGCCTTACGGCAAAGTAAAGATACATTTCTGGGACGACTTTTTTGCATCTTAAGATTTTAGAAAAACAATTAATTCACAAAAGTACAGTTGAATAACATACTGGAAAACGTATCCACATATAACACGATGACACGCAGTTTAAATAACAGTTTACTGGGGTTTTGTTACATATCAATGTCACATTTTAGAAGGGAAGCTTACATGCTCCCTGTACGTTGACAGATTTACTGAAATGTATCGTGTATTGCATTGAGTTTTGCTTCACTGCGTCCACTATTATCTATCTTTGCCTATAGTGGTTTTTTGCCAACAATATTCTACAAACTGCTTGATGAATCAATTCTATGTCTGGTAGAACACTAGAAATAAATGTAAAATGTATTTTACGTTCAGAAATATGGAATTAAACCCACGTCCTCCATTTGCAACTTAGCTGTACCCTGTTTCCCTTTTAAACGTGGTCACGTGGTAGGGTAGTGTGACCTAGTTACTAACCTGGTACACAAAATAAAAATATACTCAATGGGCTTTGGCTTAAATGCACAACAGCTATCATCAAAGTATGGTATGTGTGTAATGAATTGGAAATGAATTCAATGAAATGTGCTTTTGGAAATGATTTCAATGAAATGTGCTTTTGGGAATTAATGATCCAGTCGAATATTTAGTGGAACCAATTAAACATCATTTCTGTAACGTTATAATGCAATAAATTCAATATCAGTAATAATTTATTGATATGATTTTATTAACTAGTAAAGATAAAATATCATCATCAGCCATTCACTTCCCCCACACTTGTTGATATTGGATTGATAAAAATGATATCAATCACAATGATCAAATCATGTCTGTCTGGGTGGTTGTGAAAAATCACATACAATATTCTAACCTAATATTCACATGTATTCCAATTCTTTTTTCGAGATCTCCTCTGTCATCGCGACAGTGTGATGTGATACACATTCCAAATCATGGTGTCATATAACAATCAATGAACTTTGGGAATATGATGTGATCATCTATGATATACTGCCTCATCAATAACTCATTTCGAAGTCGACACTTACCATCCGCCATCTTAGATGCGAAGGTTACGGCTGTTACCTTCACTTGATACTGACAGTGAGTTAAGCATGGTCCCTTACTCCCTTTGATATTGAAATAATATGTCAGTACTCAGTATTAGGATAAGTATGCACTTAGTCAAACATCAGCACATGAACATGGATATGTTATTAATAAAATATAAGAGATATGTTTAGCAGTCATGAAAGCAGACAGCAATGAATTCAACCTGTCACACAAAACTACAATCTGTGTATGAACATTTACGAGATGAAAATCTCATTGATTTATGAATATGAGATTTGAAATATACGAGGCTTATTTTATGACTATATGTTGACATGTTTAGCATTATAAATGAAAATTTTGTGATTCTAAAATCTGATTTTGGTGGTTGTTTTTGCGGTTCTAGTAGATGGTTTCTTCACAAGTTTTCTTGCATCAAGATGCATACACTTCTCCCCTTATAAACATTGTCTTGAATCGAGACATACTGGATGGGTGATGTGACTGCATAGGAAGCAAGGATTCAATATAATCAAAATTTAGTCATTCATTACCTCTCTCATATTCATATTGTGGCCATTGTGACCTTAAAGTGAGCAGTAAAATCTCATATTCTCTTTTTATTATTCTACCGAATCTATTGTTCTACCCTTCTAGTTACAGCTTTGGCATTCAAAGGCAGTAAAAGATTTATTTCCTATAAAGGTTATAAGTGTTTGCTAACTATATGTTAACTCAAGTATATTATGTCAGCTTTGTGTTTATGCTTCCTGGTTCTTTTGTCTTGTTCCAAAGCTATCTAATTGACAGCATAACCACTGTTCATTACATTCTCGGTAATGTTGTACAGTATTACATCTGGAGGTGTTTTACTGATTAATTGACCTTCATATATGTTGTTTCCAATGTAAAGTGAATATATTATCTTTAAGCTCAACCTTAATAGGTAAATTAGAATAGATTATCTTGGTAGTGTATATGTACAGTAGAACCTGTATATCTGAACACCTGGCTAATCAGAACACCTCCCAATCTGAACATTTTTTCGGTCACATTTTTTCCTCCCTTTGACTCCCATGTTAAAAAAACTTCAAATGTGAACAATTTGAACAGTGAACAGTCATATTTGAAAAATTAACCTGTCTAATCTGAACACTTTTCATAAAATTCCACATGTTTCACACAAAATTGCTCAAATATTGTTATGATATGAAAATTTTGGGAAAAAACTTGAATATAATAGGGCTTTCCAGCATGACTTGATTTATTTGAATCGAATTTTCAAATTTCTGAAATGCCGTAAAGCCAGTGGTCAAATGAACTATAAATATGTACAGAGAATGTGTTCACATTTCTTTAGAATCGGGAATCTCGCAATGCAAAAACCTTGAAATGTGAACACCTCCTAATCTGAACGCTTTAAGCCGGTCCTAATGGCGTTCAGATTAGACAGGTTTTACTGTAGTTGAAACCTGCACTCATTGAATAGCTAACCCCACCTATGTTTACTTCAGTGTCAGGTTGGTCCTTCAATTCAATGAAGAATTAATCAAAGTGTTTCTAGGAAAAGGTGATAATGGTTTGCTACTTCTACTTAAGTTTTATGAGTGAGTTAAATTAGTATTAAATCCCAGTTCTTGTATTAATAAATATGTTCTATGTTGTACCTTCCAGAATGCCCAATCCAAGACAACCTGTGTGAAAATGACAAGATGGGTTATGAGGCTATCAACTCCCTACATGCTCAGATAGATGATGACAAGAATGGTGGAGTCACCCTGTATTTATATAATATTATATTGTGTCTTCCAGAATGCCCAATCCAGGACAACCTGTGTGAAAATGACAAGATGGGTTATGAGGCTATCAACTCCCTACATGCTCAGATAGATGATGACAAGAATGGTGGAGTCACCCTGTATTTATATAATATTATATTGTGTCTTCCAGAATGCCCAATCCAGGACAACCTGTGTGAAAATGACAAGATGGGTTATGAGGCTATCAACTCCCTACATGCTCAGATAGATGATGACAAGAATGGTGGAGTCACCCTGTATTTATATAATATTATATTGTGTCTTCCAGAATGCCCAATCCAAGACAACCTGTGTGAAAATGACAAGATGGGTTATGAGGCTATCAACTCCCTACATGCTCAGATAGATGATGACAAGAATGGTGGAGTCACCCTGTATTTATATAATATTATATTGTGTCTTCCAGAATGCCCAATCCAGGACAACCTGTGTGAAAATGACAAGATGGGTTATGAGGCTATCAACTCCCTACATGCTCAGATAGATGATGACAAGAATGGTGGAGTCACCCTGTATTTATATAATATTATATTGTGTCTTCCAGAATGCCCAATCCAGGACAACCTGTGTGAAAATGACAAGATGGGTTATGAGGCTATCAACTCCCTACATGCTCAGATAGATGATGACAAGAATGGTGGAGTCACCCTGTATTTATATAATATTATATTGTGTCTTCCAGAATGCCCAATCCAGGACAACCTGTGTGAAAATGACAAGATGGGTTATGAGGCTATCAACTCCCTACATGCTCAGATAGATGATGACAAGAATGGTGGAGTCACCCTGTATTTATATAATATTATATTGTGTCTTCCAGAATGCCCAATCCAAGACAACCTGTGTGAAAATGACAAGATGGGCTATGAGGCTATCAACTCCCTACATGCTCAGATAGATGATGACAAGAATGGTGGAGTCACCCTGTCTGAGAGCGATGAGGTATGGAAGAGTACTTAGACTTCAAAATAAATATGATTGGCATTTCTGTTTGTGGTGTTTTGTGAGTTGTTTGTACATGTAATATAAATCTTTTTCATGTTTTGTATCTCAAATACTTTGTATTTCTGGACGTTAATTGTATTTCTGGTGTGTATTATATTTCTTGTGTGCTTCTCTATGTGCCTGGTATTTCTCTTGAGTATTTATTCCTGGTGTTCATTGCATTCCTGGTATTTGATATTATGAGGTTATATAATGGTTCTTTCTGTATATCGTGTTTATACTCGAGTGAGTATATGATATATTCACAAGTGAGCGTAGCGAACGAGTGAATATATTATATTCTCACGAGAGTATAAAATGCACGATATACAGAATGAACCATTATATAATCTTATTATGCCACTCTAAGTTCAATTACAGTTGATTCGAACACAATCATAACAATTAAAAAACATAAAAATATCCCATAGCCAACTCAATAATGCTGATGTTGATCTCGAACCATTTATGACGTGGCTTGATTCTAGCAAATCATGAAAATTTTCATGATTTTTTTTATTCATTAGTTCCCAGAATGCACCTCTACAGTGGTATACACTGGAGTGTATACGGAGGAGTTGTATACGATGACGATATACCACTCTTCACTGTATATCGTTGTTATAGACCCATGTTATACAACTGTAATTGGACTTAGAGTGGTATAAAATAAGGTTCCTTCTATTTGGAATTTAACCTACATGAATATAACAAAAGATAGAGTGGAGAGTCCCCAAGTACAGTTTAACTTGTCAAGTGGAACATTTTTATAAGTAGAACATTTTACAGCCAAAGAATGGAGATGAAGCTCTCTTTGAAAAATGGAAACCAAACTGAAAATAAATCTCTTAAGAAATGATCAAACGCTGAGCATGCATCTCATGTATATATTAGGGAAAGTAAACAGAGTATACTGACGTTATTACGACCCAGTATATATATTTCACACCAGGCTGTAGTGATATATTTTTCATTGGTTATATGTAATTAACATATAACAGGTGTTCTCTATGTACCTGGTATTTACTTCATTTAGACTGTCTTCATCCAGTAAACAAGTATTTCTGTATTGTTTATAGTGTTACATAGGTGTTTGTGTCTAAGTTGGAAATACACCTGTTTCCATTTCCCAATGGACTCAAATTTAGTTAAGAGGAAAGGCCATGAATTCAGAGGACTCACTCAAAAATGTGATTGGAAAGTTAGTTGCTGACTGCCATTGCCCGAAATTATTTTGTATATGAAATAGTAAACATGAAGATAGGAAATCTTTTGCATCACTCTTATCTTCATTATGCTTGCGTCACATCCAGTGAAATGTAATCAGTATTAGTATATGACATGATTCGTACTAATGGATACTTGGAAAATGCTTGCATACAGAATGGAATTATGAGAATTCAATGTTGATGCAATTTCAAAATAAGTGAAAAATCCAGTATCTGATTATTCCAGCTAATAGCCTAAGGTCCAGATGGTATCAGGCCCAATAACCCCTGAGCAGTGTACTTGTATATATTTTTATTCACTGACAGTGTTTTTCAAAACACCCAAATTTTCATTAATTCAAATCAATGTGCCTCCTAAAGTTTTACAATAAAAGATAAGAAAACTATCAAATTTTGCACAAAAAATTAAAAAGACCTGAGTGGAGATATGAAGAGTTAAATTCAAACTATTGGAAATTATAGTATTTATCAGCAATATATATTGCATATTCTTTTTATATTGCATATTCTTTTTTTTATTTACAATTCTAGTGTTTAATGATTTCTGTTTCAGTTTATCCGTGATGAGCTTAAATACACAGATGACTTTGAGCGCCACACAAAGTTCCATCGCAAAGATGAATATATCACTGCAGAGGAGCTCTGGAGAATCTGGACAAACTCGCATGGTAGGCAGGGGGATACACCCCCAAAATGCAATCTGATTTTCGACACCGTTTCGGTGCCAAATTTCGGTGCCGTTTCGGCACCAAATGGACTGACTAGTCCGGTAGCAAATTTTGGTGTCGAAAGGTTTCGGTGCCATAACGGTGTCGAAACGGTGCCGGAACGGTGCCGAATTTGTTCGATGCCGAAACGGCGTCGAATTATATTGGCTGTGTAGGGGGTAGGGTAGAGAGGAATAGTAGGGGAGCCAGATGATCTAATCTAATTAAAACTTCAAAATGACTTTTATTTCTAAAATCACTACGGGCAAATTATGGATATGACGCGCCAATTTCGTCTTATGCTTTTCACTCTAAAACCTACCGCTAGGTGTTCACGCGCTCCCGGTCGATACTTCTTGTAAAACCCGCTTTCTTGGTGAGCAGAATAGAATTGCTTAAAATTAACAGATTTTTCTGATTTTTTCAATGGTGGTACTAGAGGGTCTCTACTGCATGTTTATCTAAATTATAAGTTGCTATGGTGTCAAATGTTTTCGTCATCTTTCTGTAAATAACCTTGAAAACATCGTGAGTGCAAAATTGTTGCGTCAAACAGACATGTTTAGGTTGGTCGCAGGAGAAGCCGTTTTACACCACTGTTCTTGGACGGATTCCGAAAATAATTTCACGACAGTAATCATTATGAATGTAAGTATTAAAGTAATTAAATTCACATCCATACTATGACTGTAAGTTATGTTTTCTTATGTCTAAATATCGAGGAATGAACTGCGCTGGTAGTCAGAAATAAACTTTTGATGATTGAACCGTTCAGTGTATAGCGTAAACTTTAGACGGACAATTCAATAACTTAATGTGAATGGATTTTTAAATAGATTTCAGATTCATGATCATATTAATATGTAGATTAGAGGGTCTTTATTTTATAATTCTATGATCTAAATGTACTGAGTAGTGGGTGCATCAACATTACCCATTGGCAACGATATTCTCAAGTGAAATCAGACGAAGCTCACGCGTAAATATTGACCAACGTTTGTGTTTACACAGTCGTATTTCAAAACTAAAGCATTATTTTAAAAATCTAAAACGATACGATTGCGATTTAGAGTTTCTAGTTTTTGAATATGTGAATTTAAATTAATTTTATTTATAAATGAAAAAAATGAACCAAGGGTGAAAGTATGACTATCCATAGACGTCCTTGGACTATCAAATCGTTCGTTTTAATGATTTGACCAAATGTAGCAAAATGTAGCAAACTTGGAAGTACATTATAAACATACGACTTTTACACACGCGCGGACGTATAAGAGCCAGATAAGTACAACTGTGCACGTTCTCCAAATAAAAGGTCTCAATCTTTCTCCATTGACGGTAACATAATAATTCTGCACCTGGAGATGCAACATTTCGTCCAGTGCGATCGTGATCAGCGCACCTAGCGGATGGCGCGTCATATCAATAATTTGCCCGTAGTGAATTATGACCAACTATAAATTCAAAATAAACAGTCCAAAAGATTCAAACCAATATCTCAATCATTTCTTGTGAGTTTTTGAATTGTTCGTTTAGAAATGAGACCAAAATTTACGATTCAAATGTTAAAGTGAACAAAATGGTGGCTGTTTGAGATGGAATTTTGTAATCACGACATGCCCATATATGGTAAAAATATTGATGTTGCACTCTGGGAGCCAATTTTCCGTGCAGCCAATCAGTTGAACAAGGGTCACCATAGCAACAAAAGAATCTATGCGTTCTAGCACAATAATGTTCAAAATTTATAAACCAGTATTTGAAGGTAAAATGAATGACATCCACAAAAAAGATTTTAGAGCAAAATTAGCTTTTCTCATTGAAGGCCATATCAAAGTGTATGTCTCCAGTGGCATGTTGAACTCACTTGTGACACTTCGGTCAGACTTAATAACATTGAGTGGCCTTATATGGATACTTAGGGCAGGTCAGTATGTCTTGAAATGCTGTTGTATTGGCATACATAAGTATACCTGATTTAAAGAATAAAGAATAACATGTTAAGTATTGGATTGTGTATATACCATATATGTGTACATCAAAATAATCTATGAAAAGCTCTCTGATTCTGTTCATCAGGCAATTTTAAAGTTCTGCAAAAATTATTCTGTATTAATTCTTATTACATGTACTGCCTATTTGTATCATTACTTCATTTGGCAGTGTTGCATTTGGGGTTATATCAAAAGCTTCAAACTAAAATCTATGCTAAATCCTAATGTTAGATCTTTAATGAAGTGAAATTCAATTAGAGGCGGTAAAATGATCATAGTATTTAGTCAATGGAATAGATTGAAAAATAAATAAAATACAATAATATTTATCACCTTATAGGCTATTAGTAGTTATGCATAAGATGTATACAAAATTTTTTTTTTTTTTTGAATAATTTAATTAATAATTGAAGGAGATCAGTTACATGTACAAATAAATGTGAAACCCAAATACCAATTCCTAATACACAAGGGGACATTTTTGCAATGGATTTCTGGATTAGAGCCATTCTTTGCAGATCACAAATATTGATTTCCCGAAACCAGTGTGTGTAATGTAATGTATAATTTCAATAATAAAAAGATATGATAAATGAGACTGTGTGACAAAGGCTATGATAGAATTCATCATCATTATATAATCTCAATTGAATCAATAACACAATCAGTTTTTCTGTGTTCACTGTACACTCTTGGCAACTGAAATGTAAATGGTGATTTAAAGTACCCATTATCTCGAAAGCTTACCCACTTTAAAAATACAGTAAAACTTGTGAACAGGGAACGCTCTTGGGACTTGAGGAAAGTTTCCTTGTTCAGAGGTTTTCCCTATAGAGAAGGGCCGCACTTTCAGCAAACTCAAATTTGCCGAATAAGCATATTTGTATATGAATAATATATACCAAAATCCAGGTTTTAGTTTTCCGACAATTCTAATGTTCCTAAATGTGTCTATACCTTTCAATTCATAAGTGATTTATTATAGTCTGAGACCAGAGCAGTATAAAAGTTCACATAATTTTGTTCTGGAAATCTCACAGTCTAAATCCAAACCTACATGGTTTTTGTTATTTAAGATTTTTCACAAGGCAAGGTTTATTTAGCTATTGGGCTGAGTCAAAATAGCTTCATAAGGGCAAAATAGGTTCATCTAAATGATTTTGGTCTGTTTCAATCAATTTACTCAAAGTTAACCTCTCACAGACAGATACCATATGTACAAAATGAAAATATATGGAGAATGAAAGTATTAAAAATTGTGATGCCAATGGGTCAAGGTATGTCTCTTGAATATGTCGAGAGTTGTTACATAAATCTTAGTTGGATCACCATAACAGTTTTGGTTAATTCGAGAAGTTCAGAAAAATTCTATTTCAAATCTCCTGATGCAGTACTATGTAGATTTGTTTATTTGCAGTATACAACTGGACAGTGGATGACACTATAGAGTGGCTAGTAACCTCTGTAGAACTTCCTCAATATGCAGAGGTCTTTAAACTAAATGCAGTTGATGGTCACTCATTACCAAGGTAAGTGAACAGCATTTTACTTCCATTTAAATATTTTTTTTTTATTTTTTTTTTTTTATTATTAAAATCAATGTAACATATTTACAGGTTGTAGTGGCTATGACCCCCAAGAGGGAGTATTAGGTGCCACATAATGCACTGTTTCCATTACTTAAGAATAGAACAATGATTCAAGACCAATCAGCGATAATGATGATGTCATTTTGAATCATTGTAGACCAATGAAAAAGGTCTACTTTCAATGATATGATCATTTTTGAATTCTGGGGTCCCCTCTTCTCTGACTATTACAACTATATAGCACAGGGGCTTGTCTCGAGGCGTCGGGCAAGCCCTCCGATGAGTCTACTGCTTATTAAGAGTATTAAGGGGGGTCGGTTTTGATGCAACCTGAAATTTGTAGAAAATGATTGTTTATAAGTTGTTAGATATATCAAGTAAAAATATATGGAATCCTTTCAATAATCGACATGCTGATTCAAACAACACTACAGAGAAAACTTACCTAAAATGATAGCAATCCATCCACTAGTTGCTGAGATGTGGGAAGAACATGTAAGGAAGTGATGAAATTTAATTGAAAATGCAAAACACGACAATTTTCACCCTCAAATTGTTAGCTCCAGAGTCGATTTCTTCCTCAAGACACGTCCACTGTTAAAAATCGGTAGTTCCTAGAGTTCTTTGTTTCCTTAGGTTCATTTCCGTATATTATTTTTAACGAAGGACAGCCTATAACGACTGCTATACGCAAAATAGATGCATGAAATTATGTTTCGAAACTGAAAATGTGTTCCATGCGCAGTTGCGTTCAATCCAGCAATTTGATTAGTTCATATTATATGAACGCATGCGCAATGACCACATATTTTTCTAGATAGATGTCACTTGCGTTCATTATTTCACACCAGTCCCTTCCCATGATGCACCTAATATTGCGGGAATATTTTCCTTTAGTGATAAAACAAATAACTCTCATCTTCGAAATATGTTTTCCGTTCCTTGGCAATAATCTTTCATTTGGTACCAATCCAACCGCCGAAAAGTAATTCGAATCGTTCTGAATCGTGGGAATGAAGTACTTTCTTTTTTGCGCATGCGCATAGAACACGGGATATTCGGCCATTTTTCAACTTTCAGTTTCGAAACATAATTTCATGCATCTATTTTGCGTATAGCAGTCGTTATCGACTCTGGAGCTAACAATTTGAGGGTGAAAATTGTCGTGTTTTGCATTTTCAATTAAATTTCATCACTTCCTTACATGTTCTTCACACATCTCAGCAACTAGTGGATGGATTGCTATCATTTTAGGTAAGTTTACTCTGTAGTGTTGTTTGAATCAGCATGTCGATTATTGAAAGGATTCCATATATTTTTACTTGATATATCTAACAACTTATAAACAATCATTTTCTACAAATTTCAGGTTGCATCAAAACCGACCCCCCTTAATACTCTTAATAAGCAGTAGACTCCTCGGAGGGCTTACCCGACCCTCCAGACAAGCCCCTGTGCTATATAGAGTGATTTCTTGTGATATTTTAAATAATGTCAAAATTTCAACCTACATGTATGTATTCACATTATTTTGGATTTACTGACTTATTTCATTTTTCCAGGATTGCTAGTAACAATGCACAATACCTTACTAAAATTCTTGGGATCAAAAACAATGTAAACAGGCAGAAACTCTGCCTCAAAGCCATGGATGTTGTTCTCTTTGGACCACCTAAAAGTAAGTTATAGGCAGGATCATCCCTAAACAGTTCTGCAGAAATGTATATTTAGTGTGAATAGAATTAATTACAAAATCTGTAGAAATATTACTTTTGTGAATTCTAAATATAATGTATTACTTTACCATTCGTTTGATAGATTTTGAAACCAATTTAGGAGGTCATAGGTCACAGAAGGTCTATGCTCTTTTGATACATCTTGTGATTAGTTAAATGGCATATAGTCAGAAATACATCCAATACACTGTATGTTTGTTTATCATATTACAGAAGGCCATAGTTTACTAAAGGACCTTGCTCTTGTGATATCTCTGGTGATAGCCGTTGGGGGATGCTGGATGGCTTATAGTCAGAAATACATCCAATACACTGTATGTTTGTTTATCATATTACAGAAGGCCATAGTTTACTAAAGGACCTTGCTCTTGTGATATCTCTGGTGATAGCCGTTGGAGGATGCTGGATGGCTTATAGTCAGAACAAACACTCGCAGGCACATATCAAAAAGGTCATGAAAGATATGGAGGTGCTACAGAAAGCTGAAGATTCACTCCTTAAACTTCAGGATCAGTAAGTTCACACTGGAATAGCCTGACAATTAGATTTTCATGAACTGTATGTTTAATAGGGCACCTAGACTAAATTCCTTTGGAAAAACAATTTGACTCTACCATTGTCAGGCTATTCCGGAGTAAAGTTTGAATCTTTCATTTTTTAACCTCAAAGAAATGTGGAAAGCATGTCTCAGAACTATTGTACATTAAGATTCTTGAAAATTCAATGATACGTGAGACTGGCATAAATTTTCAATATGTTTATTCGCAGTAAGTTTGTATCCCATATTTGGGTGAAATAAATTTATAGAATTGCAGTGTTGCAAATGAATCAAATAATATGCAAACAGTCTATAAAACTAGTAAATCTAGACCAATGCTCCAACATTATATGAAGTGAAATTACAAACATGTGCAATTCATTAAAGCTTTTATAACAAATAACAAAGACAAATGTCATCACCCTTATAAACTGAAATTAATTTAAAAGTGAATGTGTACAATTTCTTCTTATAGATTAGAGCGTGCTCAGGAAGATCACAAAACAGTTGCAGTAGAGAAAGAAAGCCTTGAGAAAAAGATGAATGAGGCAATTAAAACATCAAAGGTAGATCTCATTAAATATCCTGGAAAGATTTACACACAGTAATAGGAACAGGGGTTTGGTGAAACATATTTCACCAAATTGTTGCATAATAAATTGGGATACTGAAAAAAACGCAACATCAACTCTGCCATTGGTTGAGCTGATATACACGCAGGGACCAAGACCAGCTGGTCAAAATGGCATTGCGCACCAATTGCCATGATATTTTCCTATATATATTGAAAAAATCAACTGTCCGTTTCAAAAGTGGCCTGGCAAATGACAAGTGAACTGACCCTTAGCTCAAGCCCTGTATACAGGTCAGGAGTAGCCATGTTTGAGTTTAGTTATTTCAGTTCAGTAGTAATACATCAATCTTGATTATACCAATCACAAGTAGGACCTATTTAAATGGTTCATTATCAAAAAACTTTCTATATACACAGCTCATAATGTGTGTTTGTATAATAAATCTCTAATTATCTGTTCCAGAGCGAAGCAGAAAATCTAAAATCCAAATCTGTAAATACTGAGGAATTAATCTCAAGACTAAAAACTGCAGAAGATGAACTTGCTCTGGTGAGTAGAGTCACTCAGGCCATTCAGAGTTAATCTTATGTTTAAAGATATTCACAAAATATAATGTCTTGCTGAGTAGCAGAATCATTGGAGGGAGTTAAAAACAAAGTGAAAATCAAACTAAGGCGCTAATGTTAAGCATATAATTAACTTTGAAAGGCCTGTATTGAAATAATGAAAATAATTGCCTTTTTTGTAGTAGGTCGACTTTGCCAACACTTTCCCAATACATAATTTCTAAATCACACTTAGGTTAGACATGACACCTTCATTTGTTAAGATCTTAATAGAAGGTAGTGTGACTTATTGGCTTCAACTCGTGATCATGTTTTATTGGCTCCAGCCACTGGATAATGATGCTTTTAGTTTTAGCCTATTAGTACTGCGCAATTATGTTATAGCTTTACATAAAGTCACTTAGCAAGTATAAACTAGGGCTCTAAAGGTTTCATTTCTCATTTTGGTTTGGTTTACAGTTTATCTTTTTGGTTCAGTTTCAATTCAGTTTGTCTGTTCTTATACTTAAATGAAAAAATCATGTAACTCAAACTGACACTTCATCTTGCCATTTCTTCTTTTCATGCGTACCTTTCTCATGTATCAGAACAACTTTGCATATCGTATCAGGATAGAATCTTTTGTTGGAAAGCCAAAATAATACCAAAATTGAACTTTATACAATTTAGAAGCATCAGTAATGCTGAGTTCTTCTCTCTGTTTGAGGCCCTTCAGTTTTCACTTTAGCGAATAGTAATATTTTTGCGAATGGCAATATTTTACCAAATGAACCAACCTTAAAAACCAAACCACAAAGTTTTCAACACTGTTTTTTTGGTGCACTGTTAGAGCCCTAGTAAAAACCATAACTGAAAAATAAGAAAAGACTTGCATAGATATACTCTGAAATCAGCCCTAGTAAAAGCCATAACTGAAAAATAAGAAAAAACTTACATAGTTATACTGAGAAACCAAGAAAATTTTGTACTTTTTCATGGTTGAATTTTATTTACATTTTAGCAATGTTTATTTTCAAAATTAATGTTTCATTATTAACATTTTAGTTTCGAACTGCTCACAGGGATGGCATTTGGAGGCCTCCCCATGAATTACAGTACTGGCTTCAACTCACATATGAAATAGAAAATAAGCATTATGAGACAAAGAAAGAGGCTGCTCAAAGACAACTCACTGCTGCCAAGGAAACTGTAAGTTGCCATGTTGATTGATAACAAGATAAATTTATTAATCTATTGTCTGTCTTATGTGACATTCTATTCATATTTCAATTTTGTTTTAATTTTTTCTTCTAGTGTGAAAAGATTCGTAAAAAAAGGTCAAGTTTTATGGGTGCCATACGGATAGCACACAGCAGTTCTATAGATGACGTAGACCATTCCATTTTAGCAGCCAGGTTAGTGTACCAGCATGGGGGTAAATAGGGGGTTTAATATGGGGATGGGATAGAACACAGCAGTTCTATAGATGACGTAGACCATTCCATTTTAGCAGCCAGGTTAGTGTACCAGCATGGGGGTAGATAGGGGGTCTAATATGGGTTGAATACGAGGACTGGAGGCAGCTTGCCCAAAAATGGTATTCCCTCTCAGGAATTACAGAAATGTTTTATAATGTATTTGGAATTGCATCATATTCATTGTAAGAAAGTATCAAAATATACGGAAAACATATCTTATACCATCTGCAACTCCCCCAGATACAACATTATATAAAAATCGTTTTGTTGTTGGCAAAGCAAATTAATTAGAACTTCCTCTACCACTTACAACTATCAGTTTTTACTCTTTTTGGATACCTTTTATAAAAATAGAACTATAGCATTATACTATAAAGATAGTGAAATAACATAAGTATATGGTGTTGTCCATGCTTAATCATACATTTAATCCACAACATGATTATCCATGGAATTAAGTCCCAAATGTACAAGTCAGGCACAGACTAATTTTGCTGTATATTTGCAGGGGGTCCCTTGAGGAAGTCCGCAATGATCTCCAAGAGAGACAACAACGATGGCAGGAGATTGAGAATCACTGTGATTTCTGTATTATAAACAACCCAGGTGTGGCTCAGATAGAGGCTCTCTTAGGCCTGCACCCCTCGCATCATGCAAACCATTCAGCCTCTGCTACTGGTATCTACTGCTTTTCTGCTTTATACTCATCTTATGTATTTATTGCCAGTTTTACATTGTGCCCATTAAGACTCTTCACTTTATGCAGACTTTGTATTATAATTGTAAAAAGACTTTATGGATATAACATGAAGGGATTGTTTAAAATACTGTTTTGTGACATAATTTAACAAATCTTTTATTTCATTACTGGTCCAAGAGATTTTCACAAATCAAAAACTGAATGATAGTTAATCTATGCGTCTCTATTGATTTTCCAATTGCGATTTTCTAACATTTTATTTATCTTCTCTGGACCATTGTGTCCCGCCATTTACTTGAGGGTTCAGACTTTAATAATAAATATAATTCTTTGACATACAAGGCACAAAATTGGAGATTTTATATAATCTTTGCAATGCAAATGAGCTTATTCAACATCTTCATTTAATGCTGACGTGAGAAGTTAATCAACTTTAACCGTTTGTAACACAATGACCAAATGCGAGGTGGTATTCACCAGTTTCACCACCAGGCGACTGCTTCAGTTTTGGTGATTTTATAACATGGGTAGACAGTGATGTGTAATGGTGATGTTTGTGATTTCTATATATTGCTGTTTAGTAGTATGTTATGAATAGTATAGTTATGAATTGATCAAATCAAGAGTGTTCTAAGTTGAGTGTAATTTGGTTTACTATTAGATGCAGATTTGTGCATACGCTAGAATACATAGATAGTTGAAAACTTTTAACCTGATGTGTACATTCAATTTATTTACTAACCACCATTACAGGTTTTATTGAATTTCAGTACACACCAATCCTAGAATTTTATAGTAATAATTCTACATAATGCTCACATTTTCTTGAGAAAGATTCAAGTTATGATAGTTAGATTGACATGAAGTAAAATAGGCAGAAACAATGGAAATGAAAGGAATGCATTGTAGTCATGTATTAAAGTGCTGTAAATATGATTTCTTCCTCATATGTTCAACATGATGTATTTCTCTTTAAGGTGCTGGCAATCTTGCTGCATCCAAGTTGAACATTGCCCCACTTGCTGTTGATGACAATGATGAAGATATTCCCCCTGCATTCACACAAGTAGCAGGTATTATACATGCTTTATCATTTACCTCATTTTACAGTGCTTTTAAGTTTGATAGTTTGAATTGTGAACGATGATATGTAAAAATCATAAATGATTGTGTGCAATACATTGCTTGTTGATACTCAATTTGATAGTTTGATGCGTGAAAAAGCTTGGCATAAAGCCCTATCCTTAATAGGTTTCCTCCACCTGTAGAAGTCAAAAACATAGAGATCATGTGTAATATATTTTGTCAAGTTTCGTCATCATTAAAGGAAATAATCCCTACTGAACCTTATCAAAGTTCCTCACCTTCCTTTAATTCAATTACCCTTTGAGTATGTAACAGTAAATTCAACCTACTTTTTGCTGTATTGTCTAACACATATTGGTCAATCCATGCATTATACATACAACATGTTGGCATAGAGACACATTAGAGCTGCTCATAAGGATGTTCATTGCCTATAAATGGCAGATATATGTTTGATAAATTGTATGATTGTTGAATATGTTGGGTTGTATCCAAGATTTATAGCCAACATACCATGTGCTACTTGCTGAAATACTACATGTACATGTACACTCTACTATACCTTGCATTTGGTGTTCATGAGCAACCCATTTGGCTTATTAGTTATGATTATGTATTTGTTTTTATTTGTATGTTCCTTATGAATGGTTTATCGGATGACTGTTAGATGTTAATAAGGTACTTTCAAAAATATACTAAACAAGACAATTAGACAAACAGAGTATCTTATGCATTTCTATGAGTTAGGTGTAGTAGAGTGATGTAGTACATGCATTTACAGTAGAACAATATAGAGTACTACTAGGGTTTGACAATAAACTTCAATAATCTAGCCCCTTATTGTACCCATCCTACCATTCCCTTTCCCTTCCCATTTATGGACCCATAATTCAAACATGACCTTCGGTCTGTGCTTTGTACAACTTTCTGTCCAACTTGTGCTGGATTTCACCATATTGAATGGCCTATCATTATTTATTCCTTAATTAAATATGGGACATACATTATAAGATTTCATGTTTATTTAGATGTATTCAATAAAGCAAAATTAACAATTGTGTTGAAGCTAGTAGTTTCTATGTTACTAACAATAACAATAATATTGGAAATAGAAATAATTTGCTGAGCTATTTGGAAAAATAATGGATGCTTTTTTTAAACAGCTACCCTATGCTCTCAGCCACATTCACAAACAAGAATTTTACGTCGCAATATTCCCCAAACAGTAACAGGTATAGTGTCTACATCAATCTACTTTAATGTGGTGCTTCATGATTCATATGTGGTGTGTCATGGCTTTTATGTGGTGCTTCATGATTCATATGTCTCACGATTCCCTGTGGATGCTTATATATGCCATTGACCATGTGTAATGTTTGAAAATCCACATAATTTTGGTATTCTAGCTAACAACCTGCTAACTTCGCATATTTTTTATAACCCGACTCCTGTTTATTTTTTATTGTATCAGCCTGCGTACCTACTTGCTCATAATTTTTGCTTCCATGTAATTTTACATTTTGCTGATGGCTCTAAAATTCACAATTTGCTTCTTAATTCTCCACTTTCAAAATTTTGGTTTATTTAATAATTGTATAAGATTCCAATTCAAACATGTACTTTTGTACTGAAGTAAATATACAAGCTGTCTCAATATGAGTACATGTTATTAAGGCATAGATACCAGTTAAAACCAGGATATATTGTATAATGATGTACATGTACAAGGTGCACCAATATATACTAATGTGCACCAATATGTAGCAAATATGCACCAATATATACCAAAATGTTATTATATTGTATATCTAATTTCTCCCTGCTTATGGTGTATAAAAAGACCAAATTAGTTGATAGACCAAGGGAACGTTTTTGTTGTATAAAACCAAATGACAGTTATGAATGTTGTATTTTGATGTAGACAATAAGGTATGAGGTTCCATATCCATCCGCCAAAAGGTATGACCCCTATATAGTCCATTTAAAAACTCGTGGTATTGTTCTAAATAACGCCATAGTTGGTTTCTAGGGTACCTAGTATGCCACTATTTGGTATCAAAATAAAGAAGATGAGTTCAACTTTCATTTGAATTACGAAAATAGCGATGTAGGTCAAAAATAGTTCCGACGTGAGCATGTTTATTACGCGTTTGCCCATCATATCAGAATTGAGGAAGTGGTAGCAAACGCGAGTCACAATAAATGGACGCTGATATCTCAAAAAGTAACCTGACTCCCTATAATTTGATGTAGATCAATCGAACCCCTATATGAACAGGTACATTTTGATATACAACACTATGGGGGATAAGCGTTTTATAGTTGGTCACGAACGCCATATGTGCAAAGTATTGTTATGAATTTTCGAATTTGGTGTTGGATTACGGTACTCATACCTTAATATGAGGCCTAAAATTGTCTGCTAGTTGGCCAGAGACCAATATTCTAGCATAATTTGAGAACAGAATCGATTTTTTCGTTCTGCGTAGGGCAAACAATGATTTGAAATCACTTTCAACCATTCTGTGAGTATAAGGATGGTCATAAGAGGCCCTCGGAGGGTCATGAATGAAAGAAAGCCCTCTGAAATTCCGTCAAAATTGCAGGTTATTTCTTCATTTTTTGCTAAAATTACATGATTTTCAGGGCCCATATCTCAGTGAAATTGCTACAACGTAGCGATTTTTCATTTTTACAGGCTAGATACACGTGTCAGGTCGACAGAAACAGTAAACATGTGTGATTTTTAAATTGCTACATTGTAGCAATATTTATTTCAAAATACAGGTGTGAGGGAAACTGCAATTTAGTTAGATTTGGGCGAAAATGGCCAAATTTCAGTCAAAATCCTCGGGACACAGGGCCTTTGTCTTAGATTTAGTCAATGATGCAACTCTTAGTAGAAGGTGTGCCATATAGGGAATGAAAGCTGTTTGTCAGACGTATCATTTTCTTCAATAAACTCAGAGATAGTCAGGTTAGATTTGTGACGTCACAGTGGCAAAGTTAGACTAGCATATTTAGACGTATTTGGGGTAGGGCAAATTAACCCTTTCTAGCCTAAATGGATAAATTTTTCACATATTCAGCCAGTTCCGACGTTTTTATGCATTTTTGAACTAGAAATGATATTTTCTGCCCAAAAAAGTTGCAGAGACAAAAATCAGTGTGATGTCATAAAACATTAAGGTATGAGGTTCCATATCCATCCGCCAAAAGGTATGACCCCTATATAGTCCATTTAAAAACTCGTGGTATTGTTCTAAATAACGCCATAGTTGGTTTCTAGGGTACCTAGTATGCCACTATTTGGTATCAAAATAAAGAAGAGGAGTTCAACTTTCATTTGAATTATGAAAATAGCGATGTAGGTCAAAAATAGTTCCGACGTGAGCATGTTTATTACGCGTTTGCCCATCATATCAGAATTGAGGAAGTGGTAGCAAACGCGAGTCACAATAAATGGACCCTGATATCTCAAAAAGTAACCTGACTCCCTATAATTTGATGTAGATCAATCGAACCCCTATATGAACAGGTACATTTTGATATACAACACTATGGGGGGTAAGCGTTTTATAGTTGGTCACGAACGCCATATGTGCAAAGTATTGTTATGAATTTTCGAATTTGGTGTTGGATTACGGTACTCATACCATAAGCACTGTGGTGGAGCTCTTCAAACTGTGGTGGAACTCTTCAAACTTTGGTGGAGCTCTTCAAACTGCATCTCATGAGCTAATCCATTCTCAAACGCTTGCACTTTCTAAGACATGTGATGCTGATATACTTTTGTGTCAATGAAGGTCATCATGAAGATTCTGCCTACAACTTGTAAAATCATCGAAAAATATTACCTCCAAGGCTGTACCATTTTGTTACAGAAATGGATCCGTTTTCATAGCCAGTTTGAAAAGTTCAACCACAGTGATAAAAATGGGATTGATATGAAAACATTTATTTGTTTAGAAGTTGAATATTCACTCCTCACAATTTTCCTTTGGGCAGAATTGACAAATTTTCTGAAAGTATGATGAATTATAATAAGGATTTCCTTTTCTGGGAAATACTTGCATATTTCAACTGAGACGAGTGGAGAGTTACATGTATACTACTGAATACTCGTACATGAATATTTTGAATTATGTTGATTTGTGCATGCTTCCAGTCTCATCATTTAATGTGCTTTTAAATTGAAAAATGCATGGAAGTTTCATTATATGACCTGTTCCTGAAATAATTTCTTAAAAATAGGTTTTATGCATTTTTATAATTTTGAATACCCAAAAACTATTTCATCATAATTATTAAGAAAAACTTTTCACCAGCTGTAGTCATTTAATGATTTTGAATGTTACATTCTGGCATACATTGTTAATTAATTTGATTTAAATGTTCATATTAGTATTGAAGTAATTGAATAAGAGAGATAACATTTTTAGTCATCTTTGTATTATAACTGAGACTTGGTCTTGTTTGCACTTCTAGGTCCACGTGGGTCTAGGCTTAGACGTAGCAAGACTCTTGATCTGATTTTCTAGGTGCGATATCAGTCCATATAAGGGCAAAGTTTAGTCTATTAGCATTGAGCATTTGGTTTTTACTTATAAGCTTTTTTGCTTTTTGTATTTTAAATCTACATGATGTCATGGCTCATTTTTGGACACTCTACCATTTGAGGTATTGTCTGGAAATAATTTACGATTCTACATAAGTACACATAAGTACACACCTATTGGATACAAAGGCTTGAGTAAGACTCAATTGCACCCCAAAACTTGCATCTAAGTGCATGAGCACCATAGATATCAGCAGTTAAAGTAACTAATAATTTCTTCATTCATTTTGATATATTTTTAATCATTTTCATTTACATTCAAAATTAATATAATCTGTAATGCATTGATACCCATAATGACATCACAAACACCAATCATGCCATGACATCACAAACACCAGCCATGCCATGACATCACAAACAGTTATTCGTTTATTTGTCTCTGGAGATCAATGGTTTATTTTTGTTTTTGCAAATACCTTAAATTGCAATCATCTGCTTGGTAATTTGTTTGTATTTATCTTCTGAATACTTCTAGGTTCTGCCCTTAGTGTTCAGATTCTGTTCAGATCCTTCCTTTGTCTTTTTTATTATGTATTGTCCTTTGAGAAGTTGGTGTTGTGGATCAATAAGAACTTAAAAGCTTTATGAGTAAAAATGTAGACAGAGGTTCAAGGTCAAACAAGTGGAGGCTCTGCATCTATAAAAGTTTATTAAGTGCTGTATTAGTCCCTGTTGTGGGTTCCCCGTGACTACAGTAAAATTAGTTGAAGTGGAACACCGTTGGTACCTCTGAAAAGTGTTTCATTTTGGAGATGTTCCACTTTGAGAGGTGTTCCACTTTACAAGTTTCACAGTGTTTCTTTTCCTTCTGTTTCATTAATTTATTTCAGCCTTTTTAGCTCATTATGTCACCACCAAAAAGTGGTGACATATTGTTATGATCTCCGTTTTTGTGGCGGCAGTTGGTGATTGGCGTCTGTAACAAATTTTTAAAACTTCCAATAACTGACTTCAGTTTTTTTTACGAAATGATCTACAAGATATCTACCCTTTGCATTCGTTCGACTTCACTTCTTAAAAGAAAGCTTCGTCTTCACTCTTTCGTTTTACAATAAATCTCTGATCTCACCGAGCCAATCAGAGTTCGACGTCGAAATTTGGACAATTCTTTCTATATGGTCATTTCCCATAGTTAATGAGTATGCATTTTGCATGTGTTCCTTCTACTTTGCTGATTGGTTGAGAAATGATCAGCGAGGTAGATTTGAAATTATATATTACCCGGGCTGTCACAGGCACCAAATCTTCAGGGCGGGGCTGCTAAACTGAAAAATATAGTCTATACTAGGCAGAGTGTAGTTTATAACTAGACTCTGCATGCAGGGTGCAAGATATAAGATACCTATTTTTTTTTCAAAATCATCTACAAGTTATCAGAAGCTCAAATCTGACTGTAGATTTGACCTTCAATGACATTCTCAAGGTCTAAAAAAGATTTGACCTTCAATGACCTTCTCAAGGTCAAAAAGGTCTTTTTTCAACTTGCTTCAAATTGACCAATTTTTTTCAAAATCATCTACAAGTTCTCAGAAGTTCAAATCTGACTTTTGATTTGAGATTTCACCTCCAATGACCTTCTCAGATCAAAAAAGTATTTTTTCAACTTGCTCCAAATTGACCAATTTTCTTTTCAAAATCATCTCAAAAATTCAAATCTGAAGATTGAACTAATAATATTGTGAGCAACAAGGTGGTGACATTTTGTCATGTTAATGCCTTGTTTAATTTTGCTATTAATTTTGTTATTTTGTATTACTACATATTATTGTACAGTATATTTTGAATATTTTAGTTTCTCTATCTATGTTATAGTTTTATAAATAATGGAGGAGGATTAAAATGTCATTGATGAAATATTGATTTTATTCTTTTGTCTTCCTCTGGTATTATCAATACAGATATATAATGTGGAAACTGGACAAGATATTTAAATAAAGTGGATCATTTGACATAACCAATACAATGTCTAATACTGCACTTATTAACTATAATTATAACACCATAATAATATATCTTTATGGTCACTTCTACTATAACGATAGAATAAATAAGAGTTTGAAATAACATTAAAAATGTAAATGATATCATTTGAAAATAAAACAACACTTATGAAAAGAAAAAAGTTTGATTGTAATTTTACATTTTTGGTACACCCTGTATATGAACAAATGTTGGCCTTCGTGTTCTCCACATTTTGCCAATTTCTGGTTGTTACATACATGCCATTACATTGTTCTTTTTATACACTTTGTCTGAGATGTTTAACAAATACAGTAAAACCTGTCTTATCTGAATGCCATAGTTTAGATTGGCATGTGTTCACAATTCAAGGTTTCCTAATATGTACATCAATGGGAGATTACAAATTTTGGAATCAAGAAGAATTCACATTTAGTAGTTGTCAGATTAGAGAGGTGATCAGATGGACAGATTTTACTGCACTGTATTTATGCCAGTTGTGTGAACAAATAAGTCCAATATTGAATTAAAATGTTTGGTTTGTTTATTCTAACAGGTGGTCGTCAGATGAGCAGTCAGATGGATCTCCGTCATAGGGGTGGCGGCCTCCCTTCAGCCTATAGTGCCTCTACCCTCATCACAGCTAGCACCCCCAACATTCACACCACAGCCTCTGGGACACACCTGAATGGTGCCACTAGCCATCTGGAGAATATCTCAGCGTCAGACTCTGGAGAGAGTACGCATAGTTGTAATGAAGCTATTCCATCTACTAACACTCCAGTATGCTTTAACCTTGGGGAGAATAGGTAGGAATGATAGCCCTGGTAGAAACTTAGAGGAATGTAGAGGATTATGAAAGGAAATTGGTAATAGGGTGATTCTATCAAGTTACCAAGACTACGATTAACAGAGACAGGGAAAAGTATTAAAGACATGACTGCTTACAATAATTACATGACTACTTACAATAATTACATGACTGCTTACAATAATTACATGACTACTTACAATAATTACATGACTACTTACAATAATTACATGACTGCTTACAATAATTACATGACTGCTTACAATAATTACATGACTACTTACAATAATTACATGACTGCTTACAATAATTACATGACTACTTACAATAATTACATGACTACTTACAATAATTACATGACTGCTTACAATAATTACATGACTACTTACAATAATTACATGACTGCTTACAATAATTACATGACTACTTACAATAATTACATGACTGCTTACAATAATTACATGACTGCTTACAATAATTACATGACTGCTTACAATAATTACATGACTGCTTACAATAATTACATGACTGCTTACAATAATTACATGACTGCTTACAATAATTACATGACTGCTTACAATAATTACATGACTGCTTACAATAATTACATGACTGCTTACAATAATTACATGACTACTTACAATAATTACATGACTACTTACAATAATTACATGACTACTTACAATAATTACATGACTACTTACAATAATTACATGACTGCTTACAATAATTACATGACTGCTTACAATAATTACATGACTGCTTACAATAATTACATGACTGCTTACAATAATTACATGACTGCTTACAATAATTACATGATGGCTTACAAATCAATGTTGCATTCACAGTGACCCATTATAGATATAGGGTACATTTTCAAGAATGTATGAGAAGGTCTAGTGTGCCATCCTCAGTGTTTATATGAATCATAATGTCCCCAGCTTATATCCCTATTCCTTTCTCTGTATGGTGGATTGGTCGATATGTGCATGTTATGAAAGATTTTTTTATTTATGCACACCTGTATACTGAGATAGTGACACTCTACTATGACACTCATACTGTACTGTGACACACACTACTATGACACTCATACTGTACTATGACACTCATACTGTGACAGTGACACACACTGCTATGACACTCATACTGTGACAGTGAAACACACTGCTATGACACTCATACTGTAACAATGACACACACTACTATGACACTCATACTGTGACAGTGACACTACTATGACACTAATAATGTACAGTGACACACTACAATGACACTCATGCTGTGACAGTGACACACACTGCTATGACACTCATATTGTGACATACACTGCTATGATACTCATAATGTAAAGTGACACACTACAGTGATAATCATACACTTACAGGGACACTACTATGACATTCATAATGTACAGGGACACACTACAATGACTCTCATATTGTGTCAGTGACACACACTGTTATGACACTCATACTGTGACAGTGACACACACTCTTATGACACTTATACTGTACTGTGACGCACACTACTATGACACTCATACTGTACTGTGACACACATTACTATGACACTCATACTGTACTGTGACACACACTACTATTTCACTCATACTGTGACATTGACACTACTATGACACTCATAATGTACAGTGACACACTAAAATGACACTCATACTGTACTGTGATACACACTACTATTTCACTCATACTGTGACATTGACACTACTATGACACTCATAATGTACAGTGACACACTAAAATGACACTCATACTGTACTGTGACACACACTACTATTTCACTCATACTGTGACAGTGACACTACTATGACACTCATAATGTACAGTGACACACTAAAATGACACTCATACTGTACTGTGACACACACTACTATTTCACTCATACTGTGACAGTGACACTACTATGACACTCATAATGTACAGTGACACACTACAATGACACTCATACTGTACTGTGATACACACTACTATTTCACTCATACTGTGACATTGACACTACTATGACACTCATAATGTACAGTGACACACTACAATGACACTCATACTGTGATGACTGCACTGTAGACTTAGACTCATGGACTGTTTATTGTGAATCACATGCTGTTTGCTGTGACGCACCTACAGACTGTGTATTTTGATGCATATAGACTGTTCGCCATGACTTTCATAATGTTTACTCACAGTGACCCACACATGCTGCTAAGACATTGTTTTTCATTATAGTCTTGAAGTTGCTACCTAGCTTCATTATTCATATGGCTTGAATGCTGTATTAATGAACTGCTTATCAGTTGCAGTAGCATTTCATTTGCATGCCACATAGTATATAACCTAATTCAGAAAAGTAATCAATTTTAAGTCTTTCTCAAATACAACAATATTCTTTAACAATGTTTTTTTTGAACAAAGTTATGTTGATGGCAAAGTAGAAATTGTTCTTATCATGTTGATGCATTCTATTCATCTAGAATAATTTACTATACACACATTGATATCTACCGGAATATATGATTCTTCAAATGACATGAAAAACGTAAATTAACTTTGAATGGCCCGAATCTCATTATACCATTTCATGTTTTACTTTATGTACTCAAAGATAACTCTTTACTCTGTAGGTATATATATTCTCTATTGTTGATGACAATTATTCTTTTGCAAGGGATTGTGTATAAGTCCACATTGTTATTTTTTCTATTGCAGTGAATCTGGAGGAGGTTCCTCTATAGGGTCTACGGGAGGAGTGTCATCTATTGGAGGATCAGCCCCAGTTGTGGGAGAGTCCTCCCAAGAAAATGAAACAGCACCAAGGGTTTTAATACAAAAATCTGCTAGTGTCGATGCATCTTCTATGAACCATATGAAATCAAACTTTTCCAATGACACTGATATGAGATCACGGAGTCAGAGTGATGGAGCACGTTTAAACAATCGTAAAATTGGATTGACGTCACGGGGAGCCCCACAACAGCCTAAGCTTGAGGAAGAGGACAATAATTCTGGCTTGGATACGTCAAAATCCACTGAGAGCTTAGACTTGTTAGATGGCACTAAAGATTTATCTCCTAAAAAACTTAAAAAGAGGAAATTATTTGGTAATCTGTTGAAAAAATCATCAAACCACAATACGTCCAGTTGATGTGAATCTTGAGGACTGCTTTAGTCCATGTACACCAAAACTCCACTTTTCAGATAAATCTAAATTATACCACTCTCTCTCTTGCTAATATAAAGCATTTTCTTCTCATATTAAAACACCTGACTCTTTCAAACATATTTATTGACAATTGAGCACCTATATTACAGAGAGAGGAATTCCCCAGAATTCATAGAGGTTCTCATTTACATGGAGATGTGTTCATCAATGAATTGTGGGTGTTTTCTCCTCTGTATATTCACATATTATCACCAACACCTGTTGATATGCATAACACCCATAAGTCACCTCTATCTTAATACAGGGTTCACAATGAAGGTAACAATAACATAATTGTCCAATTTAGCATATTGGCATACAGACCATAACCCAAGTGGGAATCTAATTTTCCAAGTTTACTGCCAAGAGTGAAAAATGATTACCATTGGCAGTGAGGCCAGTTGTGAGTTTTGAACCCTGCCTTAAGACATTTTCTTTTCCTTCAATTCTTCCAGACTCACTGACTGCTCAAAGAACTTGTTTTACCATTATTAAACATTATCAATTTTACAACTCTTTACTTTCCAATATGGCTGCAAAAGTTGATTAAACTAAACTTCATAAAGGTTAAATGGGTTTGCTAAATTTATACAGATAGTGTCCATATAAAATTTTCACTTTCACTGCATGCGGGACACCCTGTAACTTGGCTATGATCCGTATTAGATGTACGACATTTTTTTCATTATCTAGTGTCTGATATTAGTCTAAACTAGTCATCTTATCTATGATATTTTTGTGATGTACATATTTCAAGGCTATTTGAATTAAAGTCCATGTTCAGATGTTTTTTTGTATGGAAACATGGACTCCAACTGAAAATTTGGTCATACAAATTGAAAACTGAGAAATGTGTTTAGTCAAAAAACATGAATTAAAGATCTGAATACTTCAGTACTTGTGCATGTATTCAATCTTAAATCATTACTTTATTGCACAGTTTCTATTCATGTAAATGCCATATGGATTTCACACAATTCCATGTGAAATCTACTTGGAAACAGTGTGGATCCACATGGAGAAACTCAAATTGCCACATGGATTTCACAAGGATTCCACATGGATTTCACAAGGATTCCACATGGATTTCACAAGGATTCCACACGGATGTGGATCAGCTATGTTTGTATCTTTGAATCTAATTCCTCTTTTATTTCATATTTTACGAGGTTTTGCTTGAATTATAGCATGAACTAAAACTACAGGGTGTGCCAGCAATGCATATGTATGTTACACAGTGTATGGTCATTATTTCATTAGATATAAGTTATATTTTAAGTTGTATATCATGCACCCTGTATTTTAATGACATGTTGAAATGTTAAATGTAAATAATACCACACTGGTTGTGAGAGGATATTGATGTATACTTGTATTAAAATCTATGTCAAGTCTGTTCAACTCCCCAAATATAACTGAACGGGCAGCTTGTTTTGAACATTTTTTCCATTCTTCAAATCTGTATTTCACTTTGGGAAGTGGAATGCATGCAGTATAGGGACATTTTGCATTGTTGTGCCTTGTTTGTATTTTCAAATGATATTTGTTAATTATCACGGTCATGTGACATAATTTGAATCTTCCACAACTATGTCTTGCCTTGGTATATGTGCGCAATTGGACAAATTCTGTCTGAATTGATGGTATATGGGCATTTTGACGATTTTGATCTTTCCCACCATTTAATTAAAGCTGTAGTTGCTTTGAATTTTCTTGTGATTTTAGTTGATGTGTTCATTTAGTTGAGAAAATAAGTGATTTTATTTAAGAATATTCCTGTTACATGCCACCCCTGTTGAAAATCTGTTCATACCCTGTCCAAAGGATGAACTATGAGATGCAGTAAAACCTGTCTAATCTAAATGCCATTTGGAGCGTGAAAACCTGTTTAGATTTCAAGGTTTCTTAACCTGTGAGTCTTGTAGGAGATATGAAATTGGGGCAAATTGAGAAAATGTGTTCACACTGAAAGGTGTTCAGATTAAAGAGGTGTTCTGATATTCATGTTTTACTTTATAAGATTTTACTTTATAAATCTCAGATTTTTCTTTCTACACACATTGTAAAGATCTGAAGTTTCTGCAGTATTTCCCTAGTCATGGTTCTTTCATACACTTTCCAGCTAAATGGAAACAAAACCTTAAGCCAAAGTGCACTTAAAGTTCCTCATTTTGCTTTATTCAAGTTGAAAATATACTAACAATCTCAATTTGAATGACATCAATCTCATTTAAATGTCATTACAATTTATATGACAACCAAAATTGGAAAAATCGATTGAGATTTTTCAGGTTGTCCATAATGTAGTTGGCTTCCAAATCATTTTATGTCACTGAAGTATCGTAACTCATGCAATGTAATCATATAAATCTCAGTTTTTAGTTTTTTGAAGTTTAAATCCCTGCATGAAGGCCAATGTCTATGTCAGCCATAACTTGTGAGAGTGTGTATATAAGGAACATGACTGGGGTATCATATTATTTCTCTTGAAATCCACCAATGCCTCTTTTTTAGTAGTGCTATTATTTTGTAATATAATGATTAAGATTTGTTAGATTGAATGAACTGCAACCTGTATATATGCCTGTATACTGTCATTGCAACTGAATGAATATTTTTGTATATATTGTTTGTCCATCAAATCACATGTCTGTAATGGTTAAAGTGCATTTTGGTTTATTTTAAGTTTGCTTAATTTTGATGTTGATATAGTATGGATATGATGTATGATATTTCTTGTTTTACTTGTCAACCTGTACAGCTGTGAAGTGTGTTGAAACATTAAAATAACCTATATTTTTGTAATAGCTGGCTGTCAGTTAAACAGCTAGTGAGGTAAAGGTGGTTATTGTATCATAAAATAAGTTATTCCAATCATGACCCTCTTTATATAATAGGCTACATGAATAAAAAAATTATCAATGCTTAAAATGTTGTTTAAGATTAAGTAAACTGGTTTTCTTGTAATAAATACCATTTTTAGACAATAAAATATTTTGTTGAGTCTGTGATGTTAAACTTATCAGATTATAGTCTTGTCATTCTTAAATGCATCTCTATATTAAATATGAGTTCTACGTAAGGATTTCCCCCTTCATTTGTATAAGTTTCGTTGCTTTCAGCGGAATTCCATTAAAATACTCGTCATCCAGTCTTATTTGTAGGAGTAAGATATTTTATTTGTATTATAATGGCTCCTGTTATGTATAATTATCCCAACGAACGAAGTTCGGTAGGGATATAGTGAAGCCCTCCGTCCGTCCGTCCGTTAATTTTTTCTGATTCGAGCCTCGTAAAATTCAAAATGGCCGTCTAATGTACGATTTGCGCAATAATTTTTCGATCCCTTCAAAGTATGGCTATATAATACTCAAATTGAAGGAATTTTGGAGTAGATCACAATTATGGTAATATTTTTCAGATTTGTACCTCAGAAAATTCAAAATGGATTTTTTCAAGATGGCCGCCGCTTTAAAAATGGAGGGACTTTTTCGCAAAAATCATAAATTTTTCATTCTAAACCAGAGTAATTAATTTTATTGTTTGAAATTTTGGTAGTATATTCGCAACATCTATCTATTCCACATATATTCAGTGTTTTTCATCCTGACCCCCAGGGACCGTGTATGGGGGGTCAGGAAAACAGAAATTTTCGCTAATTTTTAGATCTTTCTGAAGTATAGCTTTATTATACTCAAATCAAAGGCAATTAAGAGTAGATTGCAAATATTGTATCTTTTTTCTGATTCGAGCCTCGTAAAATTCAAAATGGCTGTCTAATGTACAATTTCGCAATAATTTTTCGATCCCTTCAACGTATGGCTATATAATACTCAAATTGAAGGAATTTTGGAGTAGATCACAATTATGGTATTATTTTTCAGATTTGTACCTCAGAAAATTCAAAATGGCTGCTTTGCAGGAATTCGCAATTCTAAAATCTAAATTTTTCAATTTTAACCAAAGTAATGAGTATGATTGATTGGAATTCGGTAATTGATATTTTGTTCGTTGGGATTTGCTACTCCGCGGAGTTGCCATCATCTAGTATATCACTTTAAAGAAAATGTCAAATCCCGATTTGAAATAAGGAATATTATCAATACTATGGTGCTAAGCCAAATTTTTAAGTTAAAACCCTGGTTATTGTCAAATAATTCCCCCATTCTTCATTAAAACTCCAGATTTATCGACTAAACCCAAGATCTTTTAACGAGATAGTCCCGATCATAGACCCAGGAACATGTATAAAAAAGATAGAGTCGAATACACCAAGTAAAGAGACAAGAAGTGAAACTATCTTCTTGTTTATGTCACATACAAGAAGTGATACTATCTTCATGCTTTCTGTCACCTCTTCATGTTTATGTCACATACAAGAAGTGAAACTATCTTCTTGTTTATGTCACATACAAGAAGTGATACTGTCTTCATGCTTTCTGTCACCTCTTCATGTTTATGTCACATACAAGAAGTGATACTATCTTCATGCTTTCTGTCACCTCTTCATGTTTATGTCACATACAAGAAGTGATACTATCTTCTTGTTTATGTCACATACAAGAAGTGACACTGTCTTCATGCTTTCTGTCACCTCTTCATGTTTATGTCACATACAAGAAGTGATACTATCTTCATGCTTTCTGTCACCTCTTCATGTTTATGTCACATACAAGAAGTGATACTATCTTCGTGGTTATGTCACCTCAAAGAAGTGACACTGTCTTCATGCTTTCTGTCACCTCTTCATGTTTATGTGACATACAAGAAATGATACTATCTTCATTGTTATGTCACCTCCAAGAAGTGACACTGTCTTCATGCTTTCTGTCACCTCTTCATGTTTATGTCACATACAAGAAGTGATACTATCTTCATGGTTATGTCACCTCCAAGAAGTGGCACTGTCTTCATGCTTTCTGTCACCTCTTCATGTTTATGTCACATACAAGAAGTGATACTATCTTCATTGTTATGTCACCTCCAAGAAGTGACACTGTCTTCATGCTTTCTGTCACCTCTTCATGTTTATGTCACATACAAGAAGTGATACTATCTTCACGTTAATATCACCTGAAAGAAGTGGACTGT